ATTTTTTGTTTCACCCTTTATAAATATACATCGATTTCTCATGACTGCCCTTGTTTTGGTATTTAATTAAATTGTAAACAATGGTTAGAGAGGAATGAAGGTGCTTTCAGTGGTTAGGATAGGATGGAAGTATTTCTTGTAGGGCTAATTTTGTAGCCTTTCTCTTGTCATCTTTGATGAAGGGATTTGCTATACAAAAACTCCTCTTCCTTCATGATGAAGTATTCAATTTCAAATAACAATGTTAAACAGGTAGCCGTGCTGTGATTTTGTAATGCGTGGGTTCATTATCTACCTTGAAAGATGTTTGACTTCTGTGTATTTATGGCATTGTTTTGATGTGCTCAATTTCAAATAACATGTCAAGCACGTTCATTTTACACTGATGAATATTCATTTTAGCATTTGACTTGGAAACCTATTTTGGGTTCTCTAAGGTGGATTATTCTGTGTCAATATCTTGAGGCTTGACTTCCCTTTCTTTTTCCTCAAAATAATCTGTTCATTGATCTGATTTGAATATTAATTGAATTCAATGTCTGGACATCTAATTTTACTTATTTATTCATCATCAGTATCAACCCAAAAGGAGCACAGGAGCCCTCTGGTGGTAGGATATCACAAGTGTCCTTCCGGAAAACTGATTCACATCCCAACAATCAACGAGATGTTTATTCAACTGAAATGTTCCAGAAAGAGTTAAGGGATGATGTGGGAGTTTCCATGTTGAGTTCTATTCCAGATACGAACTTAGTGAAGCCGAATGATTCTGAGCAACGTTCTGCTGTGTTGGTGTCAAATGGTGCTGCTGTTGGTCTATATTCTTCTTCCACAGATCCAGTTCATGTACCATCCCCAGATTCTAGATCATCTGCTGCAGTTGGAGCTATAAAACGTGAAGTTGGGGTAGTAGGCGTTCGGAGGCAATTAAAAGACATTTCCATAAACCAGTCTTCAGGACCTAGTCTGTCTCTCACAAATTCTGTTACTGGAAGGGATTGTTCTTCTACAGATTCATTTCAACCACTAGGCTCCATTTCTAAAGGCGAACATCTTAGTCAAATGAATGAATCCGTGATTCCTGGCCTGGCAGGCAGCAGATCAACGTTAAATAATCAGCATAGCAGCAGGCAACACCAACCAACTATGGGTCATCAGAAAGGTATTGTAGCGTGTTTTTTTTTTTTTTTTTTTTTTCAATAAAGTTCAATTTTAAATTTTTTGTACTTTTGTTTTAAGGAGAAAAACACTGAGTTACCTTACTTTTTGTATGGTGTTTCTTAGACGAGCATGCATGTCTGTACTCCTCTTTTCCATGTGTGTGTGTTTACTTGGGGAATTCATCAAATCTTGTGATAGAGTTTACCATCGTCTTTGATACAGCTTCCCAGCATAACAAGGAGTGGAAACCTAAGTCCAGCCAGAAGTTGAGCACTAGTAATCCTGGAGTAATAGGAACACCCTCAAAATCCAAATCTCCTACTGATGAGTCCAGAGAGCTGCCTTCTGAAGTTGCTAATGTTCAAGACAAGCTTGCAAGAGTAGACCTTCACGAGAACCAGAACGTTATCATAGCTGAGCATATTAGAGTTCCTGATAATGACCAATATGGACTGGTCTTCGGCAGTTTTGGGGCAGAATTTGATTCTTCTACAGGTCTGTTGTCAGGATTGCAAGCCGTTAGAGGTCCAGAGGAATTGAGTGTAGAATCATCATCGAGGTTTGTATATATTTTATATTCCTCCAACTTTAAAGCCCGTCTGACTAAAATTGTATCACTAGGTAATTCATCACGACTCAAAGGTTTCCCTAGTGTAGTATTAATATCTTTCAAACTGATTTGGGGCATGGAGTTGTGAGCATTCCTATATGAGATAGAAAAAAATTAGAATGAAATAGTATAAAATAACCTGACAAGTATCTGTGAAAGATTTTTTTTTTTTTTTTTCTCATGGGATTCACGCTTCATACTTGTAATTTTATTCTTTTACTGATATTATCCATCTGGCAATGTTTTAGCAGTCAATCAATATTTGCTCCGGAGATCTCTACTGATGATGCTTCTGGCAGCAGGCAGGTCAATTTGCTGGATGATCAGGTCCGCAGTTCAGAGTCTAATTCACCAGATTCTGTTACAGCAACTGAACTTCAGTCAGCAGATAAAAGAGAATCTTCTAGTTCCCAGGCACTAAATACGTATGCAGAGATTGGAATTGTTCGAGAGAGAAGTCCAAAATATGTTCCCACTTCACAACATCAAGATCCTTCTGAGTTACCCGGATTTTCGGTGAGTTTGCATTAGATTATTAATTTTTGATGTAGCTGCTGAGAATTGAGATATTTTATATTCCTACTGCATTGATGGTTTAAAGGCTTGTGGTTCCAGAGACTATATGTTGCCTTTACTATTCCCTTCATTTTTTTTGTAAGCAAACCCTTTTCATTCCTTGATATTTATTGGTTTTATGAGCAGGCGTATGATCCACAGACTGGCTATGACATACCTTATTTTCGACCAACAGTGGATGAAACTGTTAGGGTGCAAGGCTTACCGTCTCAAGAGGTAAGATTAGTTGTTTACATGATGTTTTCTGTCGTGTTTATTAGCTTCTGGGTCCATGTATGTTTTGAGCTTCAAATAGTTGTAATGAATGTTTTCATCTTCCTGGAGTAGTTTAGTCTACTGCACGAAGTAGCATTGTTTTGTTCACTCACTTTTCATTCTCTGACTCTAGGCGGTTAACTCTCATGCTACTAGCAGCATCCCTACATCAACAATTCCTATGGTGCAACAGCAGCAAACTCCTGTTGCCCAGATGTATCCACAAGTTCATGTTTCCCATTTTGCAAACCTCATGCCATATCGACAGTTCCTATCTCCTTTTTTTGTTCCACCATTGGCCATGCCTGGTTATTCTAGTAGCCCAGCATATCCTCATCCGTCCAACGGTAACAGTTACCTGGTGATGCCTGGTGGTAGTACTCACATGAATGCAAATAACCTGAAGTATGGAATCCAGCCGTTTAAGACTATTCCGGCTGGCAGTCCGGCAGGGTTTGGAAACTTCAATAATCCTGCTGGGTTTGCCATGAATGCTCCTGGTGTAGTTGGGAGTGCAAATGGACTTGAAGATTCATCTCGAATCAAGTACAAAGATGGCAACCTTTATGTTCCGAATGCACAGGTTAGTACTTATCATTACCACGGATTGGCTATAGGTTTTAGTATTTACATCCATACTTGTGAACTTGATATCATTTCATGTGGCTTGTTGGTGCATGTAATGTGCTATCTCTTTATTTAGAGGGGGAGAGGAAGGAAATGGTTTTGAAAACACCAAAAGGCCTTGTTTAGCAAAAGTTTTTGCGTACTTTGTGACCTGGGGGAGATGACCTTTACGCAAATGACACTGGCATGTTTGTTTTATCTGGATTATCGTGATATCAGGCGCTCTCAAGCCAGTCAGATCCGTCTATTTTTATAATATAAAGTAGTTTAAAATATTAGTATATTTATTGTTTCAGGCTGAGACATCCGAAATTTGGATTCAAAACCCAAGAGATCTTCCAGGTTTGCAATCGGCTTCATATTACAGCATGCCTGGGCAAACTCCTCATGGTGCTTATTTGCCTTCTCATACCGGGCATGCTTCCTTCGGTGCGCAGTCTACACACATGCAATTTCCCGGATTGTACCATCCACCTCCACAGCCTGCCCCTATTGGAAATCCTCATCACATGGGGCCTGGGATGGGTGGTAATGTTGGAGTGGCTGGTGCCACTCCTGGGCCACAAGTTGGTGCTTTCCAGCAGCCACAGTTGGGTCATCTTAATTGGACAACTAATTTCTAGCGAAATGGGAAGCAAGAGAACTGTGAAGCTAACCCCCTTTATCATACAAAGGACTGAAGTAGTCATAAATGTTTTATATTTTTGTGATATGTGTAATCGATAACCTTCTCATATTCANCAGCAGCCACAGTTGGGTCATCTTAATTGGACAACTAATTTCTAGCGAAATGGGAAGCAAGAGAACTGTGAAGCTAACCCCCTTTATCATACAAAGGACTGAAGTAGTCATAAATGTTTTATATTTTTATCCGATTCTAGGGACTGAAGCAAGAGAACTGTGAAGCTAACCCCCATTTATGACTACTTCAGTCCCTTGGATGATAAAGGGGTCCCTTTATCATCCAAGGGACTGAAGTAGTCATAAATGTTTTATATTTTTGTGATATGTGTAATCGATAACCTTCTCATATTCAGGACTGAAGTAGTCATAAATGTTTTATATTTTTGTGATATGTGTAATCGATAACCTTCTCATATTCAATGTAGTATGCGGTTTTCTCCATTTGCATCAATTTCATCTGCAGTTTCTGTTATCCATTTGTAATGCTAGCTATAATAATCAAGGTGATGTACGATATAACAGAGCAACACAGTTGGATAAACTTAAAACTTAAGCAACAAAGCAGTACCGATGAATAAAACAAAGCTACCACGCAACACCAGTGGGTAAAAACAAAATACTTGACGTTAGGAATATGCTCAGCAGCTATTCCAAGTTATTTGCATCTAGCATTGTTCTTCTTCTTAATGTGAGAGTGTTAGTTTGGAGTTTTATGTACAATTTACCAAGTAGCCCTGTGTGAGAGAATGGTAAAGGTGAAGTCTTGAACATTTGAATCCATTATTATTTTTTTTCATTTTGTAAGGTGCCGATTGCTAAAGGGGAAGGTGACCAACTGGTTTCTGGATCATTTCCATGCGTGTAACTTCAGTTGTGATCAGGAAAAAGAGGTGAGCGAGATTCTTTATTCTTCTATCTTTGTTCCTTGTGCAGAATACATAGACTTTGTCCTGTTCAATTCTACTTTATTTTTTGTTATAGAACTGTCAGCTCAATTTCTTGGGATTGCCAAAACACATTGTCTTTTTTTCTTTTCTTTTCTTTTCTTACGATCATCTTCATGCTTTGCACGAAAAAGCACAACCCTACACATCCGAGTCCCTATATACCTCATCTATTTTGAATCTGCGCTTTTTTTGCTTTTTCTTTTTGCTAGAGAGTCTAGGGATTACATCGTGCAAAGTATTTCCATCATCATCAGTTTGACAATGGCTTGATATGATATGTGTACAAAAATCGATGTCCTCGGGGGATCTGTGTGATGTTTATCTTGGCACTTCGAAGTTTGGAACACTTGGAAAAAATGAAAGTAAAAAAAGAAAAAAAGAATCATTAGCTTTAACGGTTGATGCATTACTCATTTATCAGAAGCTTAGAAGCATCCTGTACTGTGCTTTTTTGTGGAGCAGTTTTTAGAACTGTTTTAAAGTTGTGTTTATATTGTTCCTGCATTTACTTTGTATTGTTTGTGACCATGTTTTCAGTAGAAACATATCTTTACAGGTTCATCATTCAAAACTTCAACAGCACTTCAAATCAGCTCCTCCTGTTTTAGTTTCTATTCTTTTACCCCAATCTCATTTTATTTCTTCTCATGGCTGTCAGCTTGTTGGAAAAAAAAAAAAAAGAAAAAAAGAACACAGGTCATTTTCCCAAGGTAGGATAAGTGTCCCACCTGGAATTTTATTGTAGGCACCAGTCATGATATCATTACTCTCTTGAATTCTAGTCTACTCCAAAAACTTGTCTTATTATCAATGTTAATTGTAGGAATGAAGAAATGCAATGCAAACGTTTTGTTTTATTAAATTATTTGGCAGACAAAAGTGGATGAATGAATGAATCTGTGATGCTAAGTTCAGCTTGTTAACAGCAAAAAGCTCATGAATCCCTCCAATGGCAATGGATGATCCATTCTGAGTTGCAGGGGACTGTTTGTGATTAGTTGTCAACAACCAAGAGGTTAGATTTCTTTACTCTTTCATAGCTTTTTCCTACTGTAGTTGTCTTGTGTGGAAGACAAGGGCAACCTGATGCCTGTGCCCTTAATAATAACTTTTTAGAGTGTGTTTGGTGTCTTTGGCGTTGGCCTATTATAATAAGCTGACCCTCCGTACATTCCCTACTCCACTGTAGCTGTTGATTAGATGAGTTTTGAATTGGAATAATATGCATTCTAGGAGCCATGAGAATCTAAATTTTAGACCAAAAATTCGAGATTGCATTGAAAAAGTATAGATGAATTGAAGTTATTTATATACATTTACGTTGGGGTAAATTTGTGTTTGAGATATGAGGCGTGGGCAATGATATGTTGAATTGTAAGGGTGATGGTGGGAGACAAATTGGTCGTTCATCCACTGACAAATTTGTATCCAAATTGGTGGAAGGAATGTAACTATTTGTCTTTACATTTTGTCTGCTATCACGATCACATTTCCAAGGCCATTTTTTAGTGGGGGCTCTCGAAATTGTCAGTCTATGATCTGAAAGGAATCTATTTGGAAATTTTAAATTCTCTTTTATGCATAAATTATGTCATGAAACGAATCTGATTTTAATCCCATTCTTTTTCAAAGCTTATTTGGTTCAAAATGGAATTTCTTAGCTCAAGAACTCTGAACCCCATGTAATGGTTGTAGCTCTTTTTCTCTCTCTAAGCAAGCTGTGTGTTGTGTTCACTTTGAGAATGGGCCCTTGTAGAAATTTAATCAGAGAATAATAGAGTTAATTGGCATGATTAATATGAGGCTGATAATAATTAATTAATTGGGTTTCTAAAATTACAACCTTTTTGCTTCATATAATTATTGATTTATTTGCCTTGAGCCTGAAGGGACTAGAGAGAGAAAAAGGTGCATGTGAGGAAAGGAGAGAAAGAGAGAAGACAAAAGCAAATCCACAGTTGAAAGCTCAAACATGGGTAGGGTTACTTTCTTCTCTCTCTTTTACATTTGGATATTAAGATGACAAATTATTTGTGGAGATTGCCACAATATGACTATGACTAGTAGATTACTTAGATCCTTGACGGTCTCGGTGAATAGTCATTTAAGTGCGAACATAAAGAGTTGATGGATGAAAATACTCGTTTTTTTTTTTAGGTTGGTGCTCACGGCCGCATTGGTTATTAGGGTAATCAAATCACATGCATTAGGGGCATAGGCTTTGGTATTCCTTTAGTGAGTGCAATGATTATGCAAATAAGCACCACCACCACCACCCCATTACACAACATATGCCCCTCTAGAACCACACGTACGCATACAAAACTGAAGTGACTGCACACCAATTCTCCTCTCTTTCCACCATCTTTCATCATCCTAAGATAAGATTCTTCCCCATGCATGCTTTAGTTTCCACAATATGTTTATATCCAACACATCTTAGACAGCTATGGAACCCACTTCTTACCACAATAGATATACATATTCCTGTAAATTGAATGCTACTTTCGTCGATGTGCTTGTATATTCTCGATTCACATCAATGCAGAATGCCCAACGACCCTTCTACATCAACTTTTCTCTCTCCCACTTCCTTTACATTTCCATCCCTGTTTTGTACATACATACATACATATACATATGTGTACATGGTATATAATTATTAATACGTTGAAAGCATTAAAGTAACGACATATTGGAGCCTCCACTAAATAGACCCGATCGAAATAGTTCTTTTTTATAAATAAAATATTTATATCATATGTATAATGGTATAAATTAAGAACTACGATCCTAGCGATCTTTCAAAAAGTGGCCCATAATAATATATATCTTTTTAAAAAAATGATAACTAAAGATATGTCTTAATAGGTAAAAAATTTGTCTCCTGGTTTAATCACATATAAATCAACCATCTAATGATTAAGCCAAGTTTAAAAAATTTAATATATGTTAAAGCTATTAAAGGGTTAATTCACCACTAATTGAAGGCTAATTGATAATAATTATGGTAATTATGATTCAAACAGCAAAAAGTGGTGGGAAAAAACACACACTTTAAGCCAAATTTGGTTATTTCATTAGTAAAAACACTCTTCCCCTGTTATGTATTTTAAAAAGCACGTACACACTACTTTATAGATTAGAATTAATCGATAAGAAGAGTCCGAATACATGTTTTTTTCCTCCCTTCTTCCTCAAATAGTACGGCGATCAAGGTTTCAATCTATCTATAAATTTTTGAAGCTAGAGTTGGTTATACATAAATCCACTTTAATTCGAGATCTGAATCGAATTAGTTACCCCTCGTCATGCGCTTATAAAATAATGTTAAGGATATTTAGTAATAAATTATAGTTTACCATATATATTATATTTGAATTTTATTATAAGGCAAATATTATCATAGGTATCTTTTCATTTATTGTTATTTTCATTTATTACTATTTCCATATCCTTGTAATTTATTTGTAATTTATTTGATTATAAATATTAGATATTTGCCTTATAATAAAATATCAAATATAATATATATGGTAAACTATAATTTATTACTAAATATCTTTAACAGAGAAGAGAAAAAAAAAATTTGTTTCTCATATTTTCTTTTTGGTTTTTTAAATTTGAACGTAGGATTCGAAAAGGAGATCATAAACTTTGTTATAAAAAAAAACCATATAAAAACAAAAGATAAAATATTATAAAATGCACGCAAGTTATTTTTTTTAATTAATTATCGGGACCATTCTCAAAGTAAATTATTAATAATATGATTAAATAAATGTTTTAAATTTGAAATTTAGAAAAAGCAAACAATCTCACGCCGTGTGGCGCAGGGTAGTCTGAATAAAGAGTACGTACACATTTCAATAATATTCCAGCACATAATAATAATAAACTAAAATTAAAAATGCCACGTGTGCACTCACAATCTGGCACTCCTTCCAGTTTGGATCCACTTGTCATACATGAGCTCCCTCCGATTCCAAATAATAACAATAATAATAATAATAATAACAAATTTTTTATCTTTTAACTATAATTATATATATTCGATTAATTTTATTTATTACATTAATACCATGCATAAGTGGTAACTTTTTTTAAGCTCACGTGTACGTATATTTTTCATTCACCATTGACACATAATTATCAATATATTATTTTATTTTAAGAGCTTACATTATTTTTTAAAAGCTTATAGTAGGGTGATAAGGATGAATAAAGATAATTATTTTATTTATAACTAATATTCAAATATCGATATAAATTACCTTATCTTAAATTTTGTATAATCTTATAATCAACCTATTTTACATATGCAAATATTACAACATCTTTGTTATTACTTTTATTTTATTTTATTCTTTTTTTGTTAAATGTGTGAAAATAATTGAAGATGTATATTAATGTAGGAGGGTTCGTGCTTTAGTTAATTGAACTATACCCAAATTGAAAATGTTAATAGACATTACAAATATGTAATATGTGTGTAAGGCAATCATATTTTATCGTCTTCTCAGGCGTGGACTTGTTGATTCATCATTTTCTCTCTCCGCCATTCATTACCCATAAAAAAGAGAACTTCCAACTCTCCTTTTGTTTCCTTCCGGTTTCTGTCACTCTGATATCTCAAAAACATCATCAGAATTTCCCAAATTCTCTTTATTTTCACCAACTTTTTTTATTTTTCCGACAAAATCAATCCTTATTTGCCCCAAATTCTTCGTCTTTCATGGATTTGTGGGATAAGTCGTTTCAGAGACACGATCAAGACCTCCCACAACGCCGTCGTAGTCGCCGTGACAACCCTTCCTTCTCCTCCTCTCTTCTCGACGCCATCTACCGTTCCATCGACGAATCCAACCACCAGGATGAAGACGGCCACCTCTTTTTTTACAGAGAAACCACCATGAGAACAAAACAGAGTGTGGTTACCGCCAGGACAGAGGACGACGAAGCCGTCAAATTCCGGCGAGCTTGTATGATCGAGAAGTGGATGGATAGGAAAAAAGTTAGAAACATTCGCGATTTTACTGTTTCCAGCTCCAGCTCGTCGGAATCCACCTCCACCGCCGGCAGAAGATACTCTGCGTCGGAATCGGAGCTTCTGTCACGTGCTCTGCACCGACAAAAGCCGATCAAAACTACTCCGTGGACTCAAACCGAAACCCAAAAGGCAAAGCACGAAAATGGGTTGGTTAAAACGAAATCCAAAGCTTCAAAAATCTACCACGATTTGAAAAAGGTGAAGCAGCCGATATCCCCCGGCGGCCGCCTCGCAAATTTTCTCAACTCCCTCTTCAATGGCGGAAGCCCAAAAACGAAGCAAAAGATGCCAAATCCTTCGACGAATCCAACGAGTATGGATTACGACATGCCGACAAAAGCGAAATCCCAGGGATCGACATGTTCCTCTGCTTCGTCATTTTCGAGGTCTTGTCTGAGCAAAACGCCATCTTCGAGAGGAAACGTTAAGAGATCGGTTCGGTTCTGTCCTGTGAGTGAAATTGTGGACGAGGATTGTGAGGCATATGGGCACAAAAGTTTGCAGAAGCTAGAGGAACCCATTATGAAGAAAGGGTTGAAAAGTTATGGGAATTTTGAAACAGAGGAAGTGAAAACAGAGCATCCGAGGAAGATTAAGAGAAATGAAGGGTTTGAGTACGAGGATGAAGATGATGCAGTGAGCTGTTCGAGTTCTGATCTGTTTGAATTGGATAATCTTTCAGTCATTGGAATCGAAAGGTTCAGAGAGGAATTGCCAGTTTATGAAACTACAAATTTCAAAACAAATTGTGCCATTGCCAAGGGATTGCTTGTGTAGTTCCATTTCCAAGGGGTTGCTTCTCTATCAGTTTTTCCGTTTTCCTTTTTCTTTTTTCAAGTAATTAATTAATTTTCCGGGCGAGAGAATTCAAAATTATTATCGTTCTTCTTTTTAGTTCAACAATATGAGTGTTGGAGAGTTCGAACAGATATATGCTTCGTTGACTGTTTCATAATCTCAGCTAGTTATTGTATATTTGGTCTGAAATCTTTTGAGAAGATGGTTGGTTTTATGCTTGTTTTCAATACAATAAGCATGAGAAGCGATAATTCGAGGCGTTAATCTCCGGCTTTTTCAGCTTTAAGAAAAAGAGCAAATATTATAATCGTGGTTGTCATCATGGGTGTTCATGTTAAACTTGAAATCAAATCAAAGTGGGTGCAAGAGATTTTCAAACTTTGAGGTTGCGTTAAAAATTAGGGATTCTAAAACGAAGGATGTATATATAGACACACACAGGTTCACCAAATTTAAACATAAGGACTAAATCTTACCTCTTCCTCCTTCTGTACGCTTTGAGAGATGGAAGCGCATCCAGTGGGTTAGGGAGAGGGTCCTCTGCTTTGATATATTGAGTGGGGGCCTTCCTCGCTTCATTCCTCTTTCTGGGCCTTTAATTTTGCTCCTAATATGCATACTCTCTCTTTTTCTTTCCTCTTTTACCCTCTCCAATGTCCTATTCTTTATTGTAGTGTCTCTACGTCCCCCTTCCATTCTTGGTCTCCCTCCCATCAGAGCTACATCCTGATTGTAAGAAAGAATTAAGCTCTTAATTGTGTACTAGTTGCAATTGGACATAGAGAGAGTAAGCAAAGTTCACTTATTCCTTCTTCGGAACCAAAATGAACAATAAAATATGTAAAGGGTCTTGGAAAGCAAGCTTAGCTTAGGGTGTGGGAAAAGGAAAAGCCTATAATCTATAGTCAAAAGTAGAAGAAATAGGGTCTCAAATGCCCTACCCTCTCCCCCTTTCTTAATTATGTAATTATATCTTTGGTTTTACTTTAATCAAAATATACTTTACCAAACCACTATGCCTTAGTATATATTTTCAACCAGGCGAAGGCTCGAAATCCACATGAGTTCCGTAACATGACATGGGTTAGTCTTGCATTGAAAATAATGCATAATGAGAATTAGGGTTAGTCTTGTTTAGTTTACTAGGGACAAGGGTATCAAATAAATTTAGTTTGGGTTGGTTGGAGAGAAAAACAAAATATTCCTCGTAACCGTGTTTAAACCTCACTGCCAAACGTGTTTTAAAACTAGCCGTGAGTAATAATGAGGTGAAATAATGCGACTAAAATGAAGTTGTAGCGTATGTCAAATGGTTGACTAATGTTGTTGATCATAGGTATTATTTGTTGCTTTGACTTTAAATCCAAATTTAATCATGTTTATTATTTATTATTTATAGTATGATTATGATTATATTCATAGGTTAGGTAGAAGTTAGAGATTGAAGAGAGATGCATGGTGGGCAAAAGGCAACACATTATTTTAATTAATATTTTAAATAATATTTTAATTAATACAAAAAGGCAATTTTTATAATTGAGTTTTGGTGAGCCTATCTTCCCCATAATATGCTCCACACATGTTCATTAATCATTAATTATTAATTGTTAATTGTTAATATTACTTTCATTACTTCTTTAAATAATGACACAATTCTTTGTCCCCCTAAAATTTAAGTAAACTTTATAATTTTACTCCCATTTATATGATTAAAAATTATTTCAAATTATTAGTTCTTCATATATATTTTAAAAATTTTAAATTGCAGCATATAATTGTCCTTGCTTCTCCTTTTGTAATTAAGCTATTCCAACTTTAGAGCTAACCACTTTAATTTATCTTTTAAGTCAACAAAATATAAAGTTGATTCAACCCTTTTTTTATTTTTTATTTCTTTTTCTGGTTACTATTTTTAAAATTAAATCAAAATTAATGACCAATAAATCTACTATGTTGGACAACTTTGAGACCCTCGAGTTAGTATACATTAAGTAATTCAAACTTAATAGATATATGCACATACTTCAGTTTCATAAGTAGTATGCGTGTTAGGATGTAACATTTTGACACTCTAATAATTTCATATAGAAACGTCTTTTTGGTACAGAATTTGGAATCGCCATTTTGGAGAGATCATCCATACTTACAAATTCAAGTAAAAAGAGAGTTTGAGAACGAGAAATAGAGATATTGAAGCTCGAGTTCGTGGAGATCATACTCGGGAATGAAACAAAAATGGAATATGAGAGAGAGAGAGGGGGGGGGGGGGGGGCCCC